ATTCATATGCCCCTTCATGCTTTGGCCACCATTCTAGAGGACATGCTTCCACGCTGATGATGCTTGTTAAAAAAATAATGTGTTAATTACATTTGTGACTGAACTCCTCGGGGGAGAATTATATGACCCCTGCTTTGTTTTACCCACATTCTGCCATATATTTCATGTTATAGCAGTCTCGGATGATGATCCAACACATATTATTCATTTTAAGAACACTTTCACTGCAGATTTGACAAAACGCAAAGAAGGTACTGATGTGAGATTTCTAAAGATAGCTACCGCACTTGACCGAAGGTGTAAGAATCTGAAGTGCCTTCCAAAATCTGAGAGGGATGAGGTTTGGAGCATGCTTTCAGAAATCTTAAAAGAGCAACACTCCGATGCGGAAACTACAGAACACAAACCACCAAAAAAGAAAATCAACTTTCAGCTGGTGGCATCTGACTCAGATAATGAAAATGAACATGCATCAGTCCACTACTGATTGTTATCGAGCAGAACCCATCATCAGCACGGACACATGTGGTTGAAGCATGAAGGGACATATGAATCTTTAGCACATCTGGCACATAAACATCTTGTGACGCCGGCTACAACAGTGGCATGAGAACTGCCTGTTCTCACTTTCAGGTGACGTAAACAAGAAGTGGGCAACACTATTGCCTGCAAATGTAAACAAACTTGGTTGAGCGATTGGCTGAACAAGAAGTAGGACTGAGTGGACTTGCAGGCTCTAAAATTTTACATTGTTTTATTTTTAATGTATTTTTTGTACATAATTCTATATTTGTAAGTTCAACTTTCATGATAAAGAGATTGCACTACAGTACTTGTGTTAGTTGAATTGAAAAATACTATTTCTTTTGTTTTTTTACAGTGCAAATACTTGTAATCAAAAATAATTATAAAGTGAATGCTGTAGACTTTGTATTCTGTGTTGTAATTGAAATCAATATATTTGAAAATGTAGAAAACATCCAAGAATATTTAAATAAATGGTATTCTATTATTGCTTAACAGCGCGATTAATCGTGATTTTTTAATCACGTGATTAATTGTGATTAATTTTTTTAATTGCTTGACAGCCTTAGTATTTAGTGAATTAAGTAACTTTTTTCTGGTACAATACTATAGAATCACTCACTGGAGGTGTAAGGGGCTGATCCTGCATACAGTTATGTACATAGTTAATTTTAGGCATGCAAGTAATCCCATTTTCAGCACTTCTAAAAATAAGATGTATTTGTATACAATATATATTCCTAAATATGACTTTTTTTGGCTTTGGATCATTTTTTGTAAGCAGGCAGTAACATGCACACAAGTTTTCTTGTGAGGTTTATGTTTTCAATTGCTTTGAGCATTTTAATTAAACTGTGAAGGAGTGTGCTGGGTGGGGGTGGGGCTGTTTAACTGAAGGAGAGAAAAGTGAATTGTACAAATGAAAAATCAAAAGGGCCGAAACCTGTGAGATGCTGAATGCCCCATGGGAATGAGGACACTCAGCACCAGGCCTGAAATATAAGAGAATTTCAAAATCTGTATGGTACAGGGATCCTTCAAGTTGATTTCAACAGGAGTTGGGGGAACACAGCCAGGGGCAAAAATCAGTCCCAGTCTGTATTGTAATGAAAAAAATATAATTAAACAAATAGTGTTCAAAAAGCGCTTCAGCTGCTATATTTAGAAGCAACACAAGGCTGACATCTTAAAAATGAGTGCGATGCACAGTTGCCTTCACTTCCTTAGGATATGTGGTGAGGTTTTTTTCTTGGGTTACCACAGCAACAGTTAGAAAATAAAATGCCTTCTCTTCTTGTTTTGTTTTTACATTGAAGAACTTGGGAGACCACCATGTACTGGAACAAGAGAAGAGATTACAAAAGCCCCCTTATAACAAAAAGAACTGTGTTAAGTTCTTCCCTGAGTACAAAAGTTCACATCAATCCCTTTTCCTTGAAAACACATTGACTATTCCTAACAGCTAATAACGAATACAGAAGAGAGGTCTTGTCTGTCAGTGATATGGAATCTTTTTGTGGAGAGCCAAGGAGAAGTGGGTGGGCCTTTACCACACACTGCACTGTCTGCTGTGGTAGCAATGTGTGAAATTTTTATGTAGATTGCTGAGTTGCTTATTTGGTTTACTTTTATTTGTCAGACTTAGGCTCAATCCTGCTTTTTTACTGAGGTCAGTTTGTTGGCTATTTAGTTTGACTGGGCCAGTTCAGTCTTAAGGGACTTGGGTATCATTAGTCCAGATTTTTAAAAAATTCAATATGATCTATAATGAAAAGTAACTTGGGGAAATATGGTTCAGCTGTGGTTTGCTCTTTTCTCTGAGGTTCTATTGTGCTGTAGAATGGATTCAACACAGCTGTGCTGATAAAGAAATTGAGTCAATAGAGTGTGGGCAGTTTATGTGTGTGTCCCTGGGAAAAGGATTAAAATTCTTCTGTTGTGTGTCTTGAAGCATCAGAATGTTTTAGTGACTTATCAGCAATTCCTACCAACAAGTTGAAAATTGAGAGGGTTTTGCTTACTCAAGGCTTCATGTAGTTTACAATGTGTCAACCATCTTTTTCACCCTTTCTTAATTTAAAGTGTTTTAAAATTCAGCAATATCTGCAATAAAGGTAAACAACAATGCAATGTGCAGTACCTTTCATATGAAAAAGCTACACAACCATCCCCGAAACATTGATTCAGCTGCAATCCCCTCAGAGTAGCTATCCTCTTCCTATAGGTTTTCTGTTCCACAGAGTAACATCAGCAAACCAGCTCTAATGTGCTACTGAGTACAGTAGCAGGTTAATGTGGGAACCTTAGGTCTTCCAAAGAACGTACCCCTCTCACTTCTGGCCACTGTAGGGTCCAGGGAAAGTGCCCACCCTTCCCTCACTGCAGTTCTGCTCTGTCAGAGCTGGTGAGCTGCAAGGGAGCTGAACGCCCTTGCCAAAGAGCAAAAATTCTTCATCAAGGTGCAGGTACCCCCAACCAAACACTTCTGATTTTGTGCCTTCATTTACTTTGGGTCTAGGAAGTACCACTTACTGTTCAGATTCACAGGTGTTTCAAACAACTAGAACAACACTCCCTCCCCTCCCCCCCCCCATAATAGGCATCTCTCTAGTTCTGGCCGATAGCTCTCTTGACTGATAGACCTTACACCCATGCTATCCAGCCCCAGCATTGATTTCTCATCAATGAGGATCTGCTTAGGGTGGGGGTGAAGCAAACTGTACTGGATGTTTGCAAGAACGCGTGCAATGGTTTTGCAGGCTCAGTCGGGGGTGCTGCTGGCCCTTAGGGGCAAGAAGGGAAAGCCAGATGGTGGAAAGCACCAGCGAGCTTGCTAGGTTCCCCCCTGCTTTGCCTCTATAAGCCCGAACCACGTATGTGCTTCTAGTCTCGCTCTTTCCTCAATAGTACATCACGAGTCCAGCCTCCTGTCCTGCTTTAGCTAATATTGCGTGGGAAGGGGAGGCCCGAGATGGCAGGCAGTCATCTCCGAGCCAATCTCCCCCGGAGAGCCGCCGACACTCCTGCTGCGGAAGGCATCTCACCAGAGCAGCGGGTTCTGCCTTTAAAACCACGTGCAGGCTAGAAGCGGGCGCTGAGAGGCCGCGAATGCAGCAGCCAGAGGCTGGGGCGCGGTGGGGAGCTGTCTCTTCCCAGCCGCTGGGGTTGGAAGAAAAACTTCTAGGGTCAGTGGGAGGGAGAAAAATTTCTGGTCCGCTCAGTGGCTGTCTGTGAGATCACCCCGAGGCGCAGGACCCTGTCCCTGGGCTGGGACCCTGCTCAGCGTTGAGGATGGGGCGGGTGTTGGCTATGGGCTCTCAGCTGCTGCTGCGGGGAGGGAGCCTGGCAACCGCAGCTCAGGAGGAGGCTCCGCTGGCCCGGGCTTTTCACTGACCCCTCCCCAGCGAGCCGGGATCCGCAGCGCCACCGAGCAGGAGGGAGCTGCCCCGGCCGGAGCGCGCAGAGCAGCCGCCCAGGCGGGGCGAGGGGGCA